GAGCCGAATTTTAGTACGAGTTGTTCTACTAAGGTTTTAGCTATTGTTTTGGCCTCTTTATTTACTATTGGATATGCAATTATGAATCGACTTAATTCACATTGCATAGTTAATATGTACCTGTATCCATTGGATGGTCTTAAAGGTCCAACAGTATCGATTTGTACTGTTTCAAAGGCAGTATGCGGTGTCGATGTTATTTGGAATTCCTCACGGTTGTGTCGGATTTGTTTATTGCGTTGGCATTTTTCACAGGTGCTAATATATTTATGAACCATCTGTTTCATTTTTTTCCATGTATATTTTTGTTTTAATTTTGTAAAAGTTTTGCGAACTCCTAGATGCCCGCTATGAGGATTGTCGTGATATTCCTCTATTAATCTGTATTTCTTCATGATGTCCGTAATGTTTTCTGGTTTCTTGTATAACAATATATTTAGTTTATATCGACTTTTATTTTTCTTCTCTCGTTGCAACTTATTAATCATTTCTTTAAATTTAGTTTTATCCATGGATTTAATTATTATGTCATCATCGCTTAGCGCTAGCATTGTTATATTCAATTCTTCTAGTTTCGAAATTAGCTTCACCATAATCGAAATCGGCTTCGGAGGTATTTCGCATAATTCCACTGTGACTTTTTTGTCATCATAACGTATGAATGCATCCTTATTCTTATTTACAATTTTAAACTGCAGTGTTCTCATACCTCGAATATCACTAATAGAAGTACAATCCCAACAATAGAGTTGATCAGGCTCAGTTGGTTTTGTCTCTTTTTGTGTATTCTTATTGGTAGTTTTATTGGCAGCGGTACCTGTGGTAGCTGCAGCGCGCGTTTTACTTCTAGTCGTTATACATATTTGCGATATTTCTTTAACATTACTTATTGTTTCTTCATCTTCGTCTGGATTTTTCAATTTCCGACTGGACATCTTGTCTTCATTAGTAGGTATCAAATTTTTTAAAATATTACTGTCTATTTTTATTCTAGACAGGGCATCAGCGTTAGTATTAATTTTTCCTTTTTTGTAGATTATTTCAAAATCATAATCTGATAAATCGATTCGAATCCTCGTCATTTTTGACGAAGGATTCTTGTGCACGAATAATGAAATCAAGGGTCTGTGGTCAGTTACAACATAAAAATGTTTGCCATATATGTATGGTCTGAAGTAGTTTATTGCCCAATGTATCGCAAGTAGTTCCTTTTCAATAACTGGCTTGTTTAAGTCGTGTTTTTGTAAGGCTTTGCTTGCGTAGCAAATTGGCAAATCTGAACCAACATTACCTTGAGAAAGTACCGCACCAAGTGCATAGTCAGAGGCATCCGTTGTTATTATGAACGGTTTATCGAAGTCTGGATACTTCAATACAGGAGGGCTCATTAGGGTTGATTTAAGACGTTCGAATGCTATTTCACATTCAGTATTCCATACGAATTTTTGATTCTTTTTTAATAACGAATTTAAAGGTTTTGATATTGATGCAAAATCTTTAATAAAACGTCTGTAGTAATTACAGAAAGCAATGTATCTCCTAACTTCATCTACATTCGTAGGTTTAGGATAATTTTGAATGACTTTATATTTGGCTGGGTCTGTTTTGACGCCATGTTCAGTGATTAGGTGTCCTAGATATGTAACTTCGTGTTTTAGGAAGTTGCATTTTTCAGAATTTAATTTTAAATTGCAATCACTTAATCTCTTGAAGACTTTTTCTAGATTGATATTGTGGTGTTTTAGGCTGTTGCCAAAAACAATGATATCATCGACATATAGAAATGCTTCGTTTTCAAGGCCTGTTAACGCTAAGGTTAGCATTCGTTGAAAACTGTTTGAACTTATTTTTAGACCAAAAGGTAGTCTTTTAAATTCATAATGACCATTGATGGTCGAAAATGCAGTTTTTTGTCGTGATGAGTTATCAATGGGAATTTGGTGAAATGAACTAGTCATATCCAAAGTTGAAAAATATCTTGCTTTACCAAGCAAGTCTAGTATGTCTTCAAGGCGTGTTAGAGGAAATTTGTCATTTATTATTTTGTTGTTGAGTTTTCTGTAATCGATTACGAGTCTCCATTTCTTCTCATCATCTGATGATTTCTTGGGTACGAGTAGGATTGGTGAATTGTATGGGCTTTTAGAGGGTTGTATTATGTCATCGTCAAGTAATTTTTGGACTTGCGATTTAACAACATCATTATGACTATGTGGTAGTCTATAATTTTTGATGTATGTTGGCACATTGTCTGAAGTTGAAATATGTTCCGTGTAGAAATTGTTGTAGGATATTTGTTCTCCTTCCATCAAGAATATATGTTGAAATTTAGTTACCAGTGAGATAAGTTCCTTATCGTCACATTTGTTATGTTGCGTTCCTATTTGTAATTTATTTAAAAGTTTTTGTGAACGTGGTTCATTATATTTGTTACAAGGGTCTTTATTAACTTTATAATACTCGTTCAAAGGACGGGTTTTAAAATTTAGTGTATTTAGAGTAACACTGTGTTCATTCGTGTTCAAAACTCGAATGTGGCAGTTTCCTCTTGCTGGTAGTATTGTATTTGCAATGAAAACACCTTTGTCAATTTCTTGAGAAATCAACAATGTATCATCATCGAAATACATGTCTATAGGTAATATATGTTCTGTTCTTGCTTGTAGAACAATTGGTTTATATGATATGGGAATAGTTATTTGTTGTTCATTGTGGGTAACTGTTAACGAAAAAGTGTAATAATCAATATTACATTTAAAAATGGTTAGGAAATCTCTACCGATGATGCCATCTACTTCAATTGGAAAATCCTCTTCCACCACCGAAAATTCATGCTTTAAATTTATATTTTCAAACATCATATGAAGAGTCGTGATGCCTATGGAATTTATATAGTTGTTTGTGATACCAGATAATATACATGTTTTATTCGAATTATAATTTAGATTAAACTTGTTTTTTATTAGTGACACATCTGCTCCTGTGTCGATTAATAATTTTATATAGTTGTTAGCGTCATGGCAATGAACTTTTACATAGTTCGATGCATGTGGGTTGAATGAGTAGATATATTTTTTTATTTTACCAGAGGTGAATTCTACTGGTTTCCCTCTGGTGTGTTGCAGTTTTCCTGTGCTGCCATTAAGCGAATGTTCCTTCCGTTTCCGTTTCTGTTATTGTTTCTATCGTTGATTTGTCTCCAGTTGTTATTGTTGTTATCTCGATTTATTTGGACATTCCTGTTGTTACTGTTAAGAGAATTATTTTGATTCCAATTTGAGTTGTTGTTACTTTGATTGTTGTGATTTCTTTGACCACTATTATTATATGTATTTCTATTGTTATATCGGTTGTTTCCGTTATGGTACCGGTTATTTCGATTGTTATTATTATTATTATAATTGTTATAATTATTGGACCAGTTGCCACTAAGTCTATTGCCATTTGGTCTATTGCCATTTGGTCTATTGCCATTTGGCGTGTTACCACGGTAGTATAGCATTCTTTGGTTCTGTTCAGTGAAAAGTAAACTTTCAGCGATTTCTCTCGCTTCCTGGAAAGTTTTGGGCTGTGACATCTGTACAGCTTGCGAATATGTTGCATTAAGGCCTTTTTTGTATGCCAGTAATGCATTCTCTTCGTTAGTTGCTAGCATCCCTTCAGCTTGTGGCGAGGTTGGGCTATAATTTCTCTTTAATAGAGACGCTGTATTTAGGTCTGACAATAGTTTGGCCATTTTATCACTATATTCCGTGATCGACTGGTTGTGGCCTTGCCTAATTTCACTTATTTTTTGTAAGAGAATTGGAACTGTGTCTTTCGGTATGTAAATTGACTTGAGTTTCTCTACCAATGTTTCCATTGAAGTTGGAAAACCTACTGGCGAAACTCTTATCTTCACATTGTGATTGAGTTTGCAATCTACGATGTGCTCTAAGAACTCCTGTTTGTCTTCGTCTCTAATCTTCTTGCTATACAAATTTAATCGTCGCAAGAAAGAACTTAATTCTTCTTGCTTTCCTGTAAAAACGGGTAGGAGTTTTTCTACACTTTCTATTACAGAGTCATACGACGCCATATTTGCTATTTGTGTGCCGTTGTTATTTTGATTACCACTTGTTGTGTGGTTATTTATTGTTATAGCGTCAGGTGTCTGTTCAGTTGATGTCATATTCAAGAGATATTTTCTTGTTTGAGTATATTTTTCTAAAAAAACTTCTTTTAGAGCTAAAAATTCCTCAAAATTTTTGGTTATATATGTTGCTTCTATAAGCCTTTTAAGGTCATCTAACCTATTTAGTTTAATGGCTATCGTGGGCTTAGTATATCCTCTGATACTAGCCTTTTTTGCGTTTTTTAGAATATCCTGAACTTCCCCTATGTATGTAGCAAAGTTTTCCATAAAATTATCAAAATTCAAAACGAGATCAAAATTAGTAACGAGATATGACAAGAAAATGAAATTCAACACAATTCAAATTCAACAAATTCAATAGAGAAAAAACAATTTTTTATACAATTTTTTTTTTTGTATATTTTGTATGAGATATAATTCATAGATATAATTCATTATATTTTTTTTTTTTTTAAATATATAATATTATAGTTATGTCATAATTATTTAAATGTAACAATAAGAATAAAAAGAAATATATATATATAATAATATTATAATTTGTTTAAGTATAATAACATGCTAGTGTTTAAACGTTATTAGAATTTAACGCCGTGTGTACACGTTTATGTACATATTTTTTTATGTACTTGTTTATTTTATATGCTACGTATAAAATAATAAATACTATAAATAA